TTGTTGTTGTTGCTATTGTTTTGTTACAATTTGAGCTAAAAAGCTAAAAATAACTTGGAGAGGTAAAGAAAAAGTTGATCTTTTCCTCAGAACTTTCAATTACATTTATCTGATCCAGATTTATTCCATTTGTCTGGGACCCAAAGCACTGTCTAATTCTAGGAAGAAAAGACTCTGTCTGGTATGGCGGTTACAGTTGTTTGAGGGCAGAAGAAACAGAGAAAAACAGCTGTGACAAACACATGAGCCAGCTTAGAGTCCCTCTCTAGGTGCCTGGGGTGCCCATTACCAACGTGAAATGGTGACAAACATTCTGTTACGTTAATTGTCACCTGTTCCCAGGTCTGCTTATTTGTCTTTCCTCACTCACATATGGATGGTTTGAGAACTAACACCAACACACACACACACACACACACACACACACACACACACACACACACACACCCATGCATCCCCATTACTTGTACATTTAATGAGGATCAGGTACTGTTCTAGGTTCTTTCACAATAGCGTCCTTATGGACTGAATAAAGGGGACAAAAGTCATAACATACCCACTCTTGTTTTTTGTGGGAGGCAGCCACAATTCTGCAGTTTCAGCATCGGGAGGTAAGGAGTGACACTCACTCCCAGTCCTAGTGGTGAACACCCTCTCCATCGTCCTCTGGCCGGCAGCACAGGGAGGATGTGAAGGGCTGTCTGTCACCACCGGGAGGGTCTCCACTTGTACTCCCTCTGAGAACACCTGTCCATCTTTTCACACAGGCGCTACCCTGAGTGTCGTTGCATCAACTTTGGATCATGGTTTCTGCTTTCCTTCCCGGCGGCCATTATTATTCTGCTCTTGTCCTGGGTCTGGCTCCAGTGGCTTTTCTTAGGATTCAAGTAAGTAAATCGCCCACGTTAATCAGGAGACGAAAGGAGTCCGCGTTCGTAGGTCTCAGCTCCTCACCCGGAGCCTTTTCACCTATTTTGTGAAGCTGCAGTTCTCTTCCCCACAAAACAAACACATCTGAACACATATTTTAAGGATATTGTAAGGTATCGTCCAAAGAGCGTTGGCTGTGGAAGAGCGTTTGTGGAAAACAAATCCATCTGGATCTCCTTTGAGTCCTAAACCCATCAGGTATTAGAAGGCCAGAGGCTTGTTATGGCGAGGACCCAGTCCAATCTGTTAAAAGAGAAATTTTAAGAAGCTTTGCCCTCCTCTTGGCTTAATACGAGGATTCCCTCAGACTGAGTTACTTTGCACTGTAACATGCAGGACTTTCTGTTTTGTCCTCCCACCAAAATGGATACGTCCTTGAATAAATAAAGCTCTGA